TGAAGAAAAAGGAGAAGATTATGCTCAGGAGAAGAAATAAGACATGGAATTTCAAATGAAAATGTACAGTGGCTGGTCCACGTGGAAGAGCTAGCAGCTTGCCTAAAAATTATGGGAAAAGGCACTTGTGGTTTAATGAAAAAAAGGGAAAAGATAAAATGAAATGTTAAGGCTTTTAAATCCGGAATTCTGAAACTGGGTCAAATGGCACGTGTGAAGTTCCATGGAGAAAGAAAATTCAGCTGGCTATTAAATATGACAGCCCAAGAACCAATTATCAAGATTCGGTTTAATAGCGGAGATGTTGAATTTGCAAAAATGTCAGACAGTGGTCTTGGAGACGGAAGGAATATTTGCACGTGATGGGGGTTAGTGTCACAGGTGCTCACACCGTTTCTGCCCCGTGAGCCGTATCATGGGTGTTAAAGAACTAGCATTGCCTAGTGACTGCGTAATTAATGGGGAAGTTGGAAGGATTTTGGGGGTCCCATGTGGATTGTGGCTCAGTCAGGGGCATCTTATGGGGACAGCTTTGTCAAGTAAGTGTCACCCCAACGTTCTCAGCTATCTGTTGGTGATTTGGAAATTATTAGGTTGGATAAACGATTTGGGCCACAATTCATGTATCTTGGTAGATGGTTGTATAGAAGGGTGTTCATGAGATAATGATACAGTTTAGAGAATGAAGAAGAAGATATCTGGTCCCTTTAAAGCATATGCTGATTTCTGTATTAAACTGATTTGCCGCTCAGTCACCTGTTTCGATGCTTCCTCACTGCCCTGAGCATCTCTGTGGTCGGGACCAGGAGCGATGGTTTGTGACGACTTCCCCGGCGGGCCTTCATCTTTTCTGAAGGTGCTGCCATCCTCTGGGGCCGCCTGCGTGCCTGTGAGGGGCGCCGGACGGAAGCGCCCACGGAGGGTCCCAGGACCACTCGGGACGGAAGTCACTTGGGGCTGTTCCGGCCTAGAGGTGAGGGTGGCATCTGAGCTCACATGGTGGCAGGATCTGAGGACCTGGTGAGGGGCACCAGCTCGTCCAGTGAGGGGGCCGGGGGCTAGGGTTGCTGGAGCATGTACCGACTGCCCTCCCAGGCTGGGGGGCCTGGCTGGAGGGGCAGGCTGCATCACTGGGCTGGGCGGGCAGGGAAGGGCAGAAACCCGCTCGGGCGCGGGCAGGGCTGTCAGCCTGTCCTTCCTGGGAGGACACCGCATCCTTCCCATAAGGCGAGGTCATCGTTGGAGCCCTGCCCATGCGGGACTTGGGTCAGAAGGCCTGCTCCTGAGGTCCTGGCTGCCTCCTGGGGACAGGGGACACCAAACTGTTGTGTGGTTTCCAGGTGGGACAGTGGGGCCTAGCTGTGTTAAGGCAAAATCTTTCACTGAAATGGAGGCAGATGTGCCACGTGCATGTTTAGGAACACGCCATGCGGGAGAGCCACACTTCTTATGTTACAGCGGTGTGTTAGAAGGGAGCCTAACTGGGTATTTCTTGAGTCTCCATTTGGTCATTGGTCCTGTTTATTCAGCTGAAACTTGGTCCCTGCACAGTCCTGAATAGACTCTCGGCCAGTTATTCTGACGATCGTAGAGGAGGACTGGGGAGTGAGAGAGGTGTCTCCTGAGAAAGAAGATGTTCACAGAAGACGCGACCAGCACCATCTCCCGGGAGCTTTCAGACCCGTCCAAGTACCAGCTACAGATTCATAACCCGGAGGAGAAAGGAAAGACGCTGGAAAAATAGCATGTACGTTTTTCGATAGTTTTAATAAACTAGGGAGGAAGTAAGCGGCCACTGAGGAGGCCTTCCGAGGCTGGAGTCGGGGGTGGAGGCGCCACGTGATGATGCCAGCGTGCGCATCGTGCTGGGGGCAGAGGGGGCCGCGGGAGTGCTCCCGGGACTGCTCCCTGTAGCCCTCATCGCGGCCCCGCGTGGTTTGTTGAAAGCTGGGGAAGAGTTTGAGAGCGGCCACCGGAGACCACCCCGGGGAAAGCCCAGGGAGCCCTGCGTGGCTGACACATGCTGGCCTGGCCCTCGGAGTCCGTCCAGCGTCAGTGATGCTGCCCCGTGGTGACTGGACCAAGGACTCATGCCGGAGGGGGGGGCGGTCAGTCAGCACGGAGACCGCGAGCCCCGGGTGACCTGCTGCGACTAAGCAGCCCCCTCAGACCTGCTCTGGGGGCGGGCCCCCCATCCAGGCTCTCCCTGCTGTGTGCACCTTCCCACGGGGCCAAGCGCAGCCCCATTCCAGACGGGAGACCCCAGCGGTGGGCCAGCGGCGGGGTGGCCTGAGCCATCTGCAGCTCCCAACCACCCTTTCGATACATAAACCGCCAGCTTCTGGGGCGTCTGGGGCGCTCACAGCCCTGCAGGCTGAGAGCCAGCCAGCAAGGTCATCGCGAGTGCCCGTGGGGAGCACGGCGGTCACCCAGCCAGCGGGTACCACTAGTCAACACAAACCAGATGCCTGCTGGATGCCACCGGCCACTCACACACAAACACCCCAGCACAGCAGGGACGCTGCATCCTTTCCAGTTTACGGGCCAAGGCCTGCGCTCCCGGGCAATTGAGCAGCTTGTTCAGGCAGGTTAGCCTGGCCAGAAAGCATGAGCCCAGCAGACTAGAAGAGTCAGCCCACCTGCTTCTCCCAGGCCTGGCGGGAACTGCAGGGTGGGAAGGCAAGCGTGCATTCCCAGGGTCTGCACACGGGTCGTAGGTGACGGTGGAGGTCAGCTCACAGCCTGGTCACTAGGGAAAGCATGCTCAAAACGAGCTGAAGTCTGAGGTTGTGGACGTCAGATTGGTGGAGCCAGGTCACCAAAAACAGCTGCGCTAAGTGCGTGACCCCTGCCGAGCAGGTGACTCTCAGGCATCCCTGGAGGGCGTGGTGTGGGGGGGAGGGGCCCATGGTCAGTGAACGAACCCAGAGTCCATGTCGGAGTCGGATTTGGGGAGGTCGACCAGGAGGCTTGACCGGGACTTGTCCCCCACTGAGGGTCCTGTCCTGTTTCTCTAAGCCGTGTCACGTGGGGGCTTAGAGCGCCCCGGGCTCTCAGTCTCTGACTGGAGGACGATGGGACCCCCACTGCCCACCGCACCCCCTGCACCTCGGGAGCAGAGCTGGCCGAGCACCGGAGACCAGGGAACCCCGCCCGCTGAGCGCTGCCTCCCCTGGAGCCAGACTTGCCCGCAGGGACCAGCCCTGCTGTGGCGAGGACGCCCGTGGGAAAGTTCGTTCAGTCCGGCTGAGCTCTTATACACAGGCTCTTTCCTCCTGACTGAGGCCAAGCGAGTTCGCAGTCTTGTTTCTGCCCCGGGTGCTGCCTCGTGATTTGGAGCCCTGAGGGGGAGATTCTTCTCCAGGAGACCGATTTTCTGATTAATTCAAATGTCATGGGCCTGCGAATGTCTTTGAAGATGACAGTGTTTGGGGTAACTCGCATAGAATTAGGAATTCGCTGGGATGGAGCACAGAACCTCCCAGGAGTTCTGCCACGATCCAAAGCCTGTCGTCTTGGGACCTCCTTTGCCAGCCACGCACTCTGCTCTGCTCCCCTCAGCTAAGCGAGAAAAGGCCAAGGACCAAGTCTGCCCACAGCTGGGAGCAGCACGGAAGCCACGGCACCCTGGCCTTCCCCCATTCCGGTGGAAGCCAGGCTGGCCGCCTCTCCACCCTTCACCCCTAGCCCTGTGCTGCCTCTTCCAGGAAGGCCGCCCTTCCAGGCCTGTGGACACCCCCGCGTCCACCACCGTCCTTATAGTCCACATGGGGTGGGAGCCGCTCCACAGCCTCGCCAGGCAGGCACGATTGCCCTGATCTTTTCTCTTTCTCGGGACCATGGCCACATCTCGTCACGGGGCCACACCCACCATGGGGGATCAGGAAGGCCAGCCCCCCACACGCTGGGAGAGAGGAGGACCCTGTTCATGTCAGCGAGCAGTGCCAGCCGCCCCCTCCGAACCTGAGCAGCACCAGCCCTGGATGTGACGTCCAGAAGAGCTTCGCTGGCCAAGCATTCACTTCACAGGAGATGAGGATCTTGAGATAGGCAATATACAACATGGATGACATAGTAGTGACCTTGCTTTAAAATCAGGAGGAAGGGATGTCCCCGGTGGTTCAGCGGCGAAGACTCCGGGCTCTCGATACAGGGGCCTGGTTCAGCCCCTCCCCAGGGAACTAGATCTCACAGGCCGCAGCTAAAGACCCCGTGTGCCACAGCTGAGATCCGGTGCAGTCAAATCAATGAACAAACATAAATACAAAACCAGAAGGAGAAGCGAGATTACTTTTTACTTTTCTCATTCTCATTGTTGCCTTTGACTTTGTCCCCGGGCAGCAACCTTACAGACACTTAAGATAGATCAAGTCCAGTACAAAGAAATGAAAGGCAAGCATAGTTTCTGCAGAACTCTAAGACTGTGCTTACTGTCAGTATTGAAACCCCCGGCAACATTGCACATTATCTACCGACCAAAGCTGTTTCCTCTCCTTTGCACCAGAATGAAACCTGGAGCCTCCATCATGTACTGGCACTCATGCAGTCTCCTGGCAACAGTCACGTGCTGACATGTGAATTTACGCTGGTGGTAACAAGATTGAGAAAGAGCTCATAGTTCATTGTTGTGTTTACAATAGAGACGGGCCCAGGAATGCGAGTCTCATTGTCACCAGAGCACGGTGCCAAGGCTGTGGGAGATGAGACGTGCTTGGCTGTGATTTCACCCATCAAGGCAGTCAGTCCCTTCGGTCCCTCTGGCCCTGGTAATTGATCACAAAAACGTAATTAGTATCTTTCCATAAATGAAGTTTAAGCTTTAGCAAAAATGCAACGCTGTTCAGAACTAAGGTGGAGTTTGTGGGGAAAGGAGAAAAGCTTTCACGGGGTGTAAGGATGGTGCTAAGTGTGGAGATAACAGGGGAATGAGGTTGGGATGGGCCCCGAGTGGGGTCTATGGGGAAAACACCTGGGGAAGCTTCCTCCTGGGCCTCACATGGATGCTCATCGGGCTTCATCTCATCAGACTTCTGTTTCATGCTTTCTCCGGGTGAACAGACTAACCCGTGTGATAACTCAGGCAGCAGAGCGTGTCATCTCCTATCCTTCCCTTTGTCAGCTTGTTTGGACTGCCAGCTCACCCATAACCCATAAGACTTGCTAGTAATAGATATACCAACGAATGGATGGACTGAGAGATGGACAGCCAGGAGTGTAAGGATGGTGCTAAGTGTGGAGATAACAGGGGAATGAGGTTGGGATGGGCCCCGAGTGGGGTCGATGGGGAAGACACCTGGGGAAGCTTCCTCCTGGGCCTCACATGGATGCTCATCGGGCTTCATCTCATCAGACTTCTGCTTCATGCTTTCTCCGGGTGAACAGACTAACCCGTGTGATAACTCAGGCAGCAGAGCGTGTCATCTCCTATCCTTCCCTCTGTCAGCTTGTTTGGACTGCCAGCTCACCCATAACCCATAAGACTTGCTAGTAATAGATATACCAACGAATGGATGGACTGAGAGATGGACAGCCAAGTAGATGGACAGATGAATTAACAGATGGATAAATGAACAGATGGGTGGATGGTTGAATGGATGTATAGGTGGATGGATGGGTGGATGGATAGTTGCATGGGTGGATGGACAGACTGGCAAACAGATGGATTAACAGATGGATAAAGGATAAAGGAACAGGTGAGTGGACGGCTGAATGGATGGACGGTGGGGAGAATGGATGGTTGGATGGAAGAATAGATGGATGAACAATAGGCAAACAAATGGACAGATGGATTAACGTTTGGATGGATTAATGGATGGATGGTTGGAAGGATGGGATAGACAGATGGACAAATGGTTGGATGGATGGATGGGTGGACAGGTGGGCAGCTGGTTGGATGGGAGGACAGATGGACACTGAGTGGATAGCTACAACCCAGGGTTCTGGGAGAAGGGAGACTTCAGTGTGGAGATTAAGAGTGAGCCCCATGGAGCCACACTGCCTGGGTCTAATTCCCAGTGATCAATACACTGACCACAGTCTTGTGGGGCTGTGTAAGGGTCCAGTCCTCTCAATGTATGATGTGAATAAAAGCAGGGCTGTTGTGAGGATTATGTGAGTTAACACGTGAAAGTGTGTGAAGTCTTCCGTCTCTTCATGAAGATTAACCATTCAGAGCCTCCCAGCTGTTAGGCTTATTTGTGTCAGCCGGGCTGGAGGAAAACCGTGCAGACCCCACTCAGGGAAGAGACCACCCAGCCTCCGGACGGAGGGGCTGAGTTTTCCTAGTTTCACAGTGCTCCTGTCCTTCGCTCTTGGCACCCGGAGGCTGGCGGGGAGCCTCGAGCCTGTGGTCTCTGGCGGGGCGGGAAGGGGTCTCCAGGAGACTCTCCAGCGGCTGCTAACTGGCTCCTACTCCGCACGCTATGGCTCCAGGTGGGCTCCAAGCAGGTTCTGCCCACCGACTCCTGCCTCGCTCCTCCGTCCGTCCGTTCACCCCTCACGGATCCTTGCTAAGCGCCTGCTGTATGCCCGGTGTGGCTCTGGGAGCCATCACTGCGGCCTCGGCCCTGCGTCAGGTCGTTTCCATAACACCGTCTCCCCGCTCCACTCCCTGGGGTCCTGCTGCTAGCCAGGCATTCCGGTTGGGGGTTGGGGGGCCTGAGTCTGGGACCCTCTTCTCCCAGAACCGCGAGGAGGAGCCAGCGGGTCCCCTTCCTTCTGTGTCTCCTCCTCAAACCTCACCTCGGTCTCCCCGCTTCACGTGGGGCCCTTCTCTGCGGAGCGGGGATAGCTTTCCCAGGGGTGCAGGGGCTGACACGGGACATCAAGGCCTAGGGGGAGACCTGGCGCTCCCTGACACCCAGGTCAGAGGGTGGTTATGTCGGGGGCGTGGTTGTCTGCTACTTCCACTCCGCATGTGCCTGGAGAGGGGGCGCGGTGGCTCGGACGCCCTGCCGGCAGTGTGCGGACCACGCAGGGTCTGGCTGGACTCTCAGGACGAGGGCACCCCGTCTGGATCAGAAGCAGAGGCCAGACAGCCCCCATGTGGAAGGCCTTCTGCCTTAAAGCTTCCTTCTTGAGGTGATCCCTGGTGTGATTTCTGTTCAAGACAGCTGAACGTGGAGAGGGACCCTCGGGGGCAGGAGTGCAATATGCCTGCAGGCTTGGAAAGAGGAAAGATAAATTGCACATTAAGATGAAAATAACCTATAAAACTGCAACGAGCGGATCCGGGCAGAGCCATCTGTATGATGAACGGGGAACGACCTCTCGCCAGCTGCAGGCCCCACCGCCCGCATCCTGCTCCTCGGTCCCTGAACCCGGACCCGCATCTGTCACCCTGCCCACCGTTGTCCCGAGGGCTGCAGAGGCTCGGCCGTCCCCCGGCTGTATCACCCCATCCTTCATATGGTGTGGCCAGGCTGGGGAGGCGGGTGGCATTAACATCTCCCGAGGGCTTTGCCTAGTGCTTGCCCTACCCTATCTCAAACGCCTCTATTGTGAACCAATCACCCGGCTGATCCCATATGAGCATCACAGCGGATCACACTTTCCAGACCGGGTGAGCGGCCGGCTCCTCCAGGGGCCAGACCCTTCTTCCCTGAGCAGGCTGCCCCGCTGCTGCCCGGGGCTATTGCTAAGTCACGTCAGTCATGTCCAGCTCTGTGTGACCTCATAGACGGCAGCCCACCAGGCTCCCGTCCCTGGGATTCTCCAGGCAAGAATAGTGGAGTAGGCTGCCGTTTCCTTCTCCAGTGCATGGAAGTGAAAAGTGAAAGTGAAGTGTCCCAGTCGTGTCCGACTCTTCACGACCCCGGGACAGGAAGCAGCAATTCCATCCTCCCTGCCTGCATCATCCCACCTTCTCTCTTTCCTGGTCTTTCCAATTCGCACACAAATGTGCAGCCATTTGTCTCCTCTCAGGGGATAAAAAAATACCAAATTCCTCCTGGCCCCGTTCCCTGCCTCTCCCGTCAGCAGACCCCATAACGGCTTGTCTCCGTCTGAGGTCAGAAGCCCCCAGGTGGTCCTGCAGGCCAGGACCACCCCTCTGCTCTGGCGCCGTCTCCGCCCGGCCACCTGACCCCAGGTGTGATCTCCGTCTTCTTGACCTTGAACCGTGTGAGCGTCTGGCCAGAAGAGCAGCCCTGCTCTGGGGTTCCCAGGGCGCCTCCCCCGCTCAGGCTCCTCCTCTTGGCCTCCCTGCTGTCCCTCCTCTCTGCCTGGGGAGGTGGAGGGCGGTCTCCGCTCCCCGAGACGAGCATCGTCTCTGTGCTGGTGAGTCTCAGCCTGAGCTCCAGGACAGCCCTTCTCCCGAACTCCAGACCCACCTGGGCAGCTGGTGGGGTCCCTGGTCCCTGCTCAGGTGCCCAGTGGGCATCTCAGGACACACGTCCCCTCCCACCCAAGCCTGCACCCCGCACCTGCCCTCTCGGCTGGGGTGAGCCCGTGTTTCCATCATACACGACCCCCCCGGGGGGGCGTCACTCCCCCCATCACGACCTCCCATCCCACACACCCACCCGTCAGCAAGTGTTCCCGCCAACTTCAGAAGATGCCCGAAATGAATCACTTGCAGGCTCTCCACATGAACGACTGTACTGATCCCCACGGAATCCTCTAGCCTGTCCTTGGTGTTTCAGAGGAGGAGGGAGACCAGGAGGTGTGGTGGCTCACGTCCCTGGGGGCGTGGGGCGTGTCAGCCCATCTGTGTCTGCTTTTCCCTCTCCATTGCGTCCTCTCCAGCCTGGGGGCCTCACCTAGAAGCATCCCAGCCTCGGAGCAGAGGGGTCCCAGCTGTGATGGGAGAGGCACCCTCACACCCCCAGGACATGCGGCTGGCGCTCTCTCCCAGACAGCCTGGCTGTGGGCGCTGAGCTCCTGCAAGGTGTCTGCCCCACCCAGGAGCTCCAGGGACGACCCCCAGGCAGTGGACTGCCCAGAGCTCGAAGACTGGTTCTTCCTGGCTCCCACGCTTCGCTTGTGTCAGACACTGTGGCTGAGTGCCAGCCTTTAGGACGTGTAGCTGCTGACTTCCTGAAGCCCACGGTGGATGTTTAGGAGGATGACAGATAAAGAACCAGTGAGAACCGCCTGGAGATGGCTGTTCACCATCCCAGCAAGTGTGGGAAAGGCCCCCGCACCCGGGTGGTCTGCAGGGGTGAGAAGGGGCAGGGGTCTCTGCGCCTTGTAGGGAAGGTGCTTGGAACACGATGCTAAGTGAGAAGCAGGTTACAGACTGAGTCTGGGAGGGGTGCAGAAGAAGTTGTTATTAGCACGACTCTCATTTGCTTACAGAAACACAGACAGACAGGGGCAGGCCTAACGCAGGCGGTTAGTTTCACGGGGAGGCCAGGGCACTGGACAGACTGATGTTTGGATGCCATTTGAATAGTTCAACAGCAAACACAGTGATGAGTGAGGTCACAGCTCAGGACGTGGGTCTTGCGATTCTTGCTCTTCTTGCCTGTGGCATCCTCTGAGGCCCAGCCCAAACGCCAGCTCGCCCCAATGCCTCCAATCAGCTCCAATCACTGGCTCTCAGCCCCTCCGTGATGCACCTCCTAGACATTTATTAAAGCGTTTATTTCATCCAGCCCTGCATGAGAGTCAGTAATTAACCTGCCTGTCTCCCCTAAATGATAGATTTCTCGAGGGAGAGAATCGTGTTACTCATCGCAGTGCCTTGCATGGAGTGACTGACTGAGCAAATATTTGCTGGGAGATGAATAATTCAGGGGATCCCCCGGAGGGCTCAAACCCGGTTGCCTGGTTCCGAAGCTGGATCCGTGGCTGGGCTCTCTCTAGGATGGACTGGGACGCCCAGGTTCTATCAGTGCCCATCTCTGGCTTGGCTGTGGGATGCCGTGGACACTGGGTCCCCGGGCCACACTCTGTCCGAACTTGGGGCCCTGGGCCAGCAGTCTCCCTTTGAGCCACTGAGTCCTGTCCCAGGGGAACGGCCATTCACCTTCCATCACGAAGGTGGAGCACTCATATTCCTGCACTGCACTTTCCCAGTTTACTCGGACGTGTCCACACATGCCAAATAGCTTGAGAATGTCATCAATTAGAAAAAATGTGATGTTCAGCGAATGAGAATAGCAATGGAAATAATAATAGTCAACGAGATTGTGGCACGGTGGTAAAGGTTCTGCCCGCCGATGCAGGAGGCTCAGGAGATGCCGGTTTGACCCCTGGGTCGGGAAGATCCCCTGGCGAAGGAAATGGTACCCACTCCAGTATTCTTGCCTGGGAAGTTCCATGGGCAAAGGAGCCTGGTGGGCTACAGTCCATGGGGTCACAAGGAGTCGGACACAACTTAGCACATACACACTCAAAAATGAGACATTAATTAACGATCAATACTTGATTAGTCTGACTGAATTCTTGTGCTCAGAAACTCTGAGGCCTTCTTATATGAGAGGCAGAGTCGGCAGGGTGGCTGGTCACCCCACAGCACGGCCCTGGGCCTAAGGCTTGGGCGAGTTCACCCGAGGGGGTGTGGGTGCTGAGCGCTGCTTCCAGAAGACGTGTAACCTTCCCGCATGACCACGTGTCTTCCGACAGTGCTTCCCATCCTGAGACCCTAAGGAAGAGGGCAGGGGCCGACAGCCTTCCCGGTCGGCCTCTCACCTGCCTGTCTCCTCGGCCCCTAAAGAAGGCTGCACGCGGCCCCCCAACTCCAGCTAGCTCTGGGGGAAGCCAACAACCCCTGCTTCAGAGGCGCCCCCTTTGCTCTCAGTGATTCAGGGGTGTCTGACCTTCCAGGCAGGCAGAGCCTTTCTAACTCAGGGCATGAGCCCCAGGTCCCAGGGGGGCCTGTGGTTGCCCCCCGCCTCTGGCTCTGCAGTGGAGCTGGGTCCTGGGGGCTGGCTCCGTTGGGTCAGCATCTTCCATATAAAACCACCGTGTCATCTAAGCCACATCTCCTGTCGGCTTCGAGTCTGGAACTCACCGCCGTTACTGATGTCTGTGCAGACCAGTTCCCACCCTCGAGTCTGCGATCCAGGCTGTGGAATCCCCGCACGTCTGTGTAAGCTCCCCCACTCCCCGGGCACCAGCGGAGGCGAGAGGAGCTGAAACCACAACTGGGCGGCTCGTGCTCATGCTGACGGGGGTTGTCTGCACATCATAGGCCGTCCCGGCCGGTGTCAGCCTCGTGTTCTCCCCGCCACACCCGAGGCGCCCCAGAGCGTCCGCGTCCCACAGGCGAGGATGCTGAAGCCCAGGGACGCTGCCGCTTGGCCCCGGGCCACCCGGCCCCTAAGGTGCACACACCACACGTCGCCCCTTCCACGCCCGCCTTCCTGCGCTGAGCCCAATGACACGCTTTATCAGCCTGAAGCCTTTGCCAACACTCTTCAAAGGGAAGAAAGCCCTTCTGGGCACTAGACTGAGTGTTGCTTCAAAGTTGTAAAAAGGATTTCCTTAACAAAGGAAAACCTGGAAGTCAGTTCTGGAAGCTCAGCACGTTGACCGTGAACCTCCAAGTTTGCTGAGTCCCCGGCCGCGGCTGGAAGGTGGAGCTGCAGGTGCGGGGAGCTTGTCTGGGACCAGCTTTGCTCCTCCTGGTCCTCCCAGGGGCACACGTGTCAGGACACAGAGGGCAGTGAGCTGCACGTTTGGTCACTGGGGTCAGGCCGGGAGCCCTGAACCCACACACAGTGAGGGCTGCAGCCTGGGCCCCAGCTGTCGGGATTCCCTCATGGATGCAGAGTGTCAGGCATCCCGACACACTGCTTGGAATCTGCCCACAGGACAGTGCGGTCCTGGGCATGTGGACCCTTGAAGGGTGTTGCTTTGAGCACTGGGCAGACTTCTGAGGTCTCTCTAAGCCTTGAAGAGATCTCTTCAAGAAAATTCGAGATACGGGGAACAGTTCAAACAAAGATGGGCACAATAAAGGACAGAAATGGTATGGACCTAACAGAAGCAGAAAATATTAGGAAGAGGTGGCAAGAATACACAGAAGAACTGTACAAAAAAGATCTTCATGACCCAGATAATCACAATGGTGTGATCACACCTAGAGCCAGGCATCTTGGAATGCGAAGTCAAGTGGACCTTAGGAAGCATCACTACGAACAAAGCTAGTGGAGGTGAAGGAATTCCAGCTGAGCTATTTCAACTCCTAAAAGATGATGCTGTGAAAGTGCTGCACTCAATAGGCCAGCAAATCTGGAAAACTCAGCAGTGGATTCAGGACTTGAAAAGGTCAGTTTTCATTTCAATCTCAAAGAAGGGTAATGCCAAAGAATGTTCAAACTACCACACAATTGCACTCATCTCACATGCTAGTAAAATAATGCT